GCAACCTATGCGTCTTCTTACACATGGCTTCTGAAGTAGAGACGTGGCCGTTCTTAGGTTACAGTAAGAATTCGGCAAAAGCAGCCGGTAAGAATAATCGTTCTAATCTAGCCCTGAGAGGTTGACCGCGCTTACAAGGGGTTAAAACGCACGCGCTACGTTGGTTCTATCATATATGGCAGAGGTAAGTATTTTTGCAAGAACACGCAAAACCGATTTTTTCAAGTTATATATTTATACTGCAATGTTTTAAAGTCTCACATTAGTATCAGTCCTTGTATTTAGATAATTTAATTACTTATGCGGCGGGTTTGCCCCAGGAGACCTCTTGTTAATGCTTCGTTATGGCCGAGAATCACCTGGCTTCGAAGATACCGTTACTCCTAAATCCTGTAGCAACTTAAATTTTTCGCAGCTAAGCGTTTCGATAGGGGAAAGTGAAGGTTTAAAGGATAAACAATTGATGATATAATAGGCCTATTACATCGAAGTAGTATCGTTTTATGTAGGTATCTTAAAAGCTTACTAAAGTTTAACTTTTAAAACCCTTTTTAAGGTATTACTGATATTTGTTACTCTTGATTTCCTTCTACTGTATCGGCCCAACCTGTACACGCAATCGCAGTAGAAGCATTCTCAGGCTCAGCCGTTGAAGCCGGTATCCCCTTTACGCATCTCAAATGCACAGCCATGATTCTTTTATTTGATCCACAGTATTATCCATTTCGTTTATGGTAAACAGCCCTTCAAATGCAAATACCGACGATTAATCTTGTCGTCCATTTCTTTAGGCATTGTAGATAATTTCCTAACTCATCGCCACTACGTTCAGAGTGGGCCAAGATATCATTGTCTTTGTTACCTTGCAGGACGTTCACGAGAATGGTATGCAGTGCTTCTCTAGTCCTGCTGTCTATGGCGCATTTCTATGGTCTCGTTGGCAGATCTATCGACGCCATTATTCAAATAACGGAAAATTCTGGGCAGCACAACTGGAAAGCGAGTGGACTTAAGGTAACCTTGTAAGTATTGATTTAAACAATTTGAAAAAAACCAAATCCAGTCCTGATTCGTCGTCATAGAACGAGAGCAAAGTGCAAATTTGGCTACGACGCACTCGAGTGACCGCTGGCCGTTCTCGCATTTAGGACATACAATTAGATAGGTAAACTATACATGGATAACACAGGAGTGTACCTAGAGCAGACAGGCCGAGATCTAATTATACACACGTAGACTGAGGCGTAACTGAGTGACTTATACCGTTATAGGTGCCATAGTATAATTAAACAAGCTCAATTTTTTGCTTTGGAGAAGGCAAGACATGTAGCAGAAGATGCTTGCAATGTACAGCGTATTGGATAATTCAAGACGGAAAAAGGTGTTGACCAACAAAGCAGTGTAAATTTTGCGTTGAGCGTCCTGCATGACAGGAACGAGTTTAAATACTTGTACTGGTTTTTTACAAAACAGCCACATCTAATATAAATGGCTATATTTATGACTGCTTCTTTAGCAAGTTTTGAATGAATCCTGGATGCTTAGACACTTGGACAAAGTAAAGATCTTTATCTCATAAGCAAGGGCTGGTACAAGGCAGATTTCAATACGAATATACAACAGTATAAACAAAGAGTTATGTAAAATTCGTGTTAATTGATTAAGATGCAAGCGAGAAAGAAATATGTTAAAGCGCGATAATGGCCTAACTTTAAAATACGGTCTGCAAGATATACAATCTCTTCCTGAGGAACTGGAAACGAGGCTATGAAATCGGTTCGCGATGAATTTTGTGCTTCACCAGAACTGAATTTCCCATGATGCTAACTACAATTTGGCACATGAATGTTGACGATGATTTTTGTACTTAGAGCGGTAACACGTTTTCGACATTTACCGTACAACTACGAGTAGAATGTTGAATTTGCTTTTCCATATCGAGTCTTAGGTCTCTTTTTGCTAAAATCCTTGTTTAAGGCCTAACTGTAATTGGTGGCACATACCATATAAGCTGCAAGTTCCTGAAAATAATTCATCTATACGATAGGCTTCATATGTTTATAATATTGTCTAATTTAGCTGGCACACGATCTGTCGTGACGATACATTAGAATTTAGAATCTGCTCCAAGCTAATACATTAACATATTTCACTTTGAAACGGATTCTGTTAGGAAAAATCGGAAACGTTTCTAATTAGATCAGGCACATGTCAAGTAGAGTTAATAGCTTTCAGATCCCCCCAGGTGTAAAATACAGTGTCTCAGCGTATTTTAGGGGGTGAATTATGTGACTCCCCTTACCGAATGCTGTTTTCCCAGTACGATTTCTTCTCGGCATGTAAAGTGGAATAAGATACCGAATCCCCCGGATATTCCTTCGAATAAGTTTCCGTTTTGTATGCTTTATTTCGGATAGTGTTCGATAAGACCTGAAACAACAGAGAGTGTCCGTTTAGACTGTACATCAGATCGGTATTAAGATATACGCTCTGCGATGACCGATGCAGAAGTAAGACAATAAGTGACGAGAAGCGTTGACCTAATAAATTAAAAAGGGAATTTCTATGACAAAATGCTTCTTATGATAAAACCAGTCAACTTAATATCGCCTGCCCGCCAGTGGCCTGATCCCTTATCTAATCTTTTGCCAGCAATGCGCCTGTTTGTAGAATGGATCCGATTTTAAGGAAATTGGACAATGTCGCTAATAGTCAATCTCTTTCTTCAATTATTCTATTCTTTTTCTAGAATCGCACGTGTTCCGGGATTTTATTATCTAATGTATGTACTTCATCACTTTTATTTATTCACACAAATTGTTGTATTGTGTCTGTGTTATCGCAGGTTATCCTTTTTCGCCTCACGGCATGTTAGGCCTCTGATTTTGGCTTACCTGACGTCGGCCGAACGTTGACTTAAGCCCTAATGATAAGGTTTATCTAATTTCTACATACGGCTTGAACATCTTATACGGGGTTGGCGGTCTAAACCGAGTCAAAGGCATACTGCACAACAGGTATGATTGCATTAAGAAACATATAATAACAGAAAACAAAGGAGAGAACGCTAAGTACTTGTACATTAACGAGAGTCTGCTAATTCAATTTATGCAGAAAATGGCAAACGATATAGGCAGTAATACCAACCTAAACTCGCCGATTCGATTATGCCTGTTTCAGCCTGTAACAAACCTGATGATCCTTGTACAGTTTAAGACCTGCACCTTGCATTGGATCATTATTCTCCTGAATGACAGTTCAGTGTATCCTTAACTATTGCCACTACAATTCTCATATTTGGCGATCTTCATAATAAATTTCGATGTACTAATGATTGGCAGAAGGTTCACATAGGTTCTGCATTTACTATAGTTTATAATTAACTTAAAATACAACTTATCTCTTATCCGCCAAGACAAGCAGCCCTTTGGATGCAACTTCTGAATAAGTTACAACTCTATATCACTTTAGTGCGACACTCAGTAAGGACACGTAGGCTAAATGGCCGTGCGAACAGGAAGAAGAGGCTTACGAAAAATTGACAGCGACCTTTTGCGGTCGAATGCTAAGGAAAACAACGAGGCGTGCCGTTGTTTTCCTCAGCCTTATAATATTACTACTATGGAGTTATCATGGTTGACCGTTCGTATTAAAAATCAGCATTCTTCTCTTGTTTCTCATTCGAATCTTGGTGGCATAAAGGTAACAGGAGTTTTGGTGTATGCATTAGATTAGGCGGAATCACTGCGATATTTAGCCAGGTCGGCCCTGGATCGTGGTAGCGTATAAGAAAATTACAGAGATTGGTTTCACTACCTTAAGCTGCCAAAATTGCTAAGGCAACATATTTTTACGTGAGAACGCCTGAGCGTCGCCGTCGCACCTCGTCTATACGCCATGAGATGTATTTTCTCACAAATAGCAGTAAAGGGTTACATTTTATAAAATCGTTGGCTCCTGTGTTGTTGAAGTATAACAAAAAATTGCAATCTCCCAAGAAAACTCTCTACTAATGGAAAACCAATGTTTCTATTTATATTTTGAACTTCATAAAGGCTGATCAACTTCGAATCAAAGCTACCTCCTTTTGACGGATTATCAAGTAATATAAACTTCAATTTTCAAATACCTCCTCTCTCATATTAGTTCGCAGCTTGTAAATATAAAATCATAATATAGCTTGAATTTAGCAGAGATTGAAAATAACGTGAAAAAGCATAATATAAAACAGAGATGATGTCTGATTGAGACATTGAAGGCGTAGACTTTTCTCTCGAACGATACGAATTCAGTAAAAGCAGCTCTGCCGGCCATTATCTGCAGTGGCCAGCCGTGTAAAGGCCTTTTTTCTTTATCTTCATTTCCTCCTCCTACTAAAATGACGGTAGACACGCGAGGGAGTGTTCAGTATATGAACGTTTTTACTTCGTAAATGCCGGTGTCTGCATGTTGGCTTAAAGGCTTTCGAGACGTCACAAGAGACGCCAAAGATCTTCGGCCTTAAATGTACAGGCATCACACTACTGTTACAGCACAGCGACATAGGTGTCGTGTATTCTTGCCAATGAATTCACTGCCTAAAGCTGTAGTTCTGTTTCCTTGAGGATCGTTTCCGAGCACTTCAGCTCTTTTCGACGGCAAACAATGGAGTAAGTTACGCGTCAACCGTAATTCAAGGCTTTCTTTTAGGCACTCAACGCTTTCCTGCTAAATACTATTAGGTATGTTACCATATCTATCTATTACTACTATCTATTATAAGCTTCTATAATTTATACTCTTTAGCACGCGCGTTGAACAGCAGCGTGAGATTAACCCCTCCTCAGGAGAAAAACCTTTTCTTCACCTGATTCAGATGGATCAGTGTCATTAAACTAGAATCACCAATTTCAATCGCACAAATAGATTCTAAGTAAAACATGTTTTATTTTAAACGCATTTATTTTGATCACAGAAGTGTCTGAAAAAATTGATTATCGCAGGATTTTGAGGCACCGGCATTATTGATTACACATATGATTATGTCTTGTCTAGAAAAAAACTGCTGCTGCTGCTGCTGCTGCTGCTACTATGTATCCAGATCGCTTACTGACTTTGTGTTAACTTATCTTTGTTTTGAGAGTTCCTATTCGGTTTTATACATTCGAATTATAAATTAGATTACCAGCTAGGTCTGTCATGGTGTGTCCCAACAAATTTTTGTAAAATAGATTGGATATAAAATGTTGAAATATATTTAAATGATGCGGCAATCGACCAGAAATCTCTGACTTAATTTTAAAATGCTTGCTACACTAGACCTAAGCCCTTTCAAATTTTTGGGTCTGTAGATATTATGTTGGCTAATGTGTTCCCGCGTTTTTTTTTTGTAAAAGCCTTTTTCTCTCACTTTGCAACTCAATTAGCCTTTACCACCGTGTTACTTTTGATTGCAGGTTTAGCTTGAAACAATTCGGTAAATATCGAGCTTTCGGCTGAACGAGAGTGCATTTTTAACACATTCTATACTAAGCATTTTATTGAAATCAAAACACGGTCGAAACCGCCCAGGACATTTTTCGTGTGTACGATGATGGCCCTCTTGTTGAAAGGACTGCTTAAGAGTAGTTTGTCAGATTTGAAAATGATAGTCGGCTGGCTGCTGAAAGATTTTCCCCGTTTCCGTCCACCGCCTGAACTTCCTGGCAACCTCCTGAAAGCGCTTTTAAAAGGAGACAGCTGGCAGACAACTCACGAATTGGCCGAAAAGATAGACTGTAACCATAGGGCCATTGTTAAGTGCTTCAAATCTCTAGGTTTACATAACTTGGGACTGGGCTACCCCGTGAAGTCTCTAAATCCTACAGCCTAACCTAAAACTAAAAACTACAGCCTAACCTTATATCTCAACATCTCGCCCTCTATCAAGCGTTACGCGGCCACAACGACTAATTTTTGCACAGAATTATCACTGGTGACGGGTAGTAATGTATGTACATCAACATGACCCAGAGATCGGAATAGATGGCTCCTTAGAGAAACTAAAACCCCAGATCTCTACCCAAAAAAAGTATGCTTTACGCTTGGCGTAACTGCACGGGCTTGATGTACTTGGACTTGTTTCCCATGAAGCGAATAGTTAATTTATTTGGCTTATTTGCATCAAGTCAACCATGCTATTCAAGAGAAAAGACCCGACAAACGAGGACAGGTCATCCCGCTACAGGATGACGCGAGGCCATATACAGCAAACGAGTTAAATTTTTGGACTTCGTGCGGGAAGTCTTGTTATGCTCGCCGGGGCCTGCGCCAATGCACTTTCACTTTTTCCGTTCACTGGGTAACCAACTACGTGGTCTTATCTTCAACACGAGTATGTAGTTCAAGCCATTGTTGAAGATCTTCTTCAAGACGAAACTAGCTATATTCTGGCGAACCTACATACATTACCGATCGAAAAACTGGCGAAAGTCGTAAATAATGACGGATGATACGTAACATAATTACCTTACCGCCGTAGGAATAAAAAAAAAAATAGTTTCACTTCTTGTGATTCATTAAAGGAACCGCAAGAATCTATTATAGAACTTAATAGAATCGACATAGATTTCTCTTTGCGCCAACAGGTCAAGATAGCGCCTTTCTGCTGGTTATTTTTTTGGTCTACAATAATTTCTGTGTATAAACGCGTTAACATACGAAGGCAAACATAGAGTTTAACTGGGTACGAGAAGTTCAAACGTTACTATACGTGCAAAAAGGACATTCGAAGTACTGTTTTAAATTAAAGATTTCTAAGTAGAGTTAATAAGATGTTAAAGATTCGCAGTAACTGAATTGTTGTTATGGAAACGCGTTGTTGGTCAGGGCTGCCAAATCAATCAAGATCATGTTCACGTTTATTGACGCTGTATCATCAAAGACAATCTGAACAATAAAAAAAAAAAAAAACTACGATAGATATACCATACCATGCCGAATTATTCAGGGGGGTACAAATTGCTTGTATGTTAATGCCATTATGATTCATTTATGCGAGTGTTGCTTGAAGACGTAACAATCGAAGTTAGTGTTGCTATGGAGAATATTGTTCTATGAATCGGGGCAGATGATGAAGGACTGAGGTGTGCAGACATTCAGTTGTTGTCCAGCGATGGGCATGGCTGACGTACGAGTCACTTGTTGACAGGATCAGCAGGCAAAGATCGGCAATGCTACCCAGTGCTACCAAGTATTTGACTTGCAGCAACTCCGTTGTGTTCCTATCCCAAATAACAACAACAACAACAACAACAACATTGCCACCAACGGCAACGTTTCTTTATTCTACTCCTTTGTATTATTTTGTCCCAGGAAAGTGTCAAAGCAGCTACCAGGTAATACGGTCTAGCCACTTGACATTGAAGAAGCGAAACTTTCGATTGAGCAGCTGTATCCTACCGAGAAACGAGTGGAGCTTCGTAAAGAAAGGTCAAGGACAAGCGCCTTGATACATCTGACTGATGAAAATATTCAGTTCCCGTTTACTGTATGGAAAAATTTTTTCGGGTAGGAAAGACATACCATATATAAATCTCCTGATAGCATGTGAAATATAATAGTCTAGACTAGTTATTCGGGCACGATAAGCAAATGGAATGTTAAAATGGTACAGACATCGCGCTGACTGCTGTCTGCTAAACCGGGAACTTTTAAAAGGCTTGGCAGTGTAGCCAATATCTCTACCTAACTGATGATATAATCCTCCAGCTCAAAAGCCTGCTTTTCGTTTCCAACATCCTTTATTGAATTACAGTGCTGCCGTACGATATAGTGTTTGCGTCAAAGTCCAATACAATGTCACGAAATACGTTTAGCTTCTAAGTAATTATAGCCAGCCAATTCAGCCAGACGAACAAATGTTTAACAAAAATGGCCGGAGAAGGAACATTACGTTGGTTGATTTTCGATAATCTGTCAAAGAGTTATTCGGCCCAACTGGGCTGACATAACTTGAACGACTTGCTCGAGCAACGACCAGAATTCATAATTCAAACAATCAGAGTTAGTTAAAAGTTGGCCAATTCATCATATTATTTTACTGTTTGTTTATTTTAATCATCTGAAAGTTGTCGTCGTCGTCGTCGTCGTGCAGCAATTTCGGGCAATGATGGCGTAATCGCGTGGACTTTGGCCCAGCAGAACTGCCTTTTCTTGTACCATTGGCTTTTGTTCTTACACCGCTCACGTTACTGTTTGACGAGTAACAGTAACAATAACAAACCAGGTTTCGGCTGGCGTCGCACAGTGACAATGTTTGCGAATGAAGGCGACGTTCATTTACCGCCTGTTTGCACTCGGAAACTAAGTCATACACAATCAAACAGGCATTATGTACAGACAATGTGCACAACAGCAGAGTAACGGCAAACATGGCTGAAATGAATATATGACTCGAGCAGAATATCTACCGATGTGACGATTGTGATGACAAAGGTAACGTGACGGGTAATACAATTCGATGAAATCATCCCTATAGTTAAACTTCAAACAGCCACAGTCCAATTGCAAATTGTAGGATTTACCTTACTACAAAAAGTCACAGGACAAATGAGCGTATCTCCCAATAGAACAGGTATATAGTTATAGCGGACTAGGTAGCGGAGCATCTATAAGAATAAATCACTACTCTTCAGCCGGACCTATGTTGCTAATCGTATGGTAAGTTATGTTATCATAATAGTTTCATTCGTCACCAATTCAACAACGCATGTAACTTCATACACGTCGCTCTGAGTCTTCGACGGATTTTATCTGAATCGATTGTTGATTTTTTTAAAAGCGACAAAGAAGAGCAAGAGGTAGTTGATGTACAGTTCGAGGCCTCGATTCGAATAGTTTGAAGCCGTAACCTAGAAAATCAAGGGTGCAAACGAGTTATACTGACAGAGCTAACTTCGGAAAATCACGGTTTTGCTGTTGTGTGTATTGGGCGTAGCTCATCGTACTGTAGAGAATAATATCGACCTGTTATCCTGTACGAAATAGGTCAGCCTTCGAAGTGAACGGCAAGCTAAAAAAGAAACAAATGATGGCCTGTTTTACATTTCTCGCCGTTCGTAACAAATGTCTGCCGCTCGATTCGATTCCACGCAATTAATTTAGGCGTAGATATACGCTACAACCAAACTGAAAGATAAAATTGCAAATCTAAGCAGAACCATAGTATTGAAACTTGTATAATAAGTATAAATGTGTATATATATATTTCGATTTATACATTAATCCCGTTTCTGGGACGTCACCAAGGCTTGAGGACTTTTTTCTTTTTTCATACTATATGGTACCTCAAACCATAAATTTTATCATAAACGCAGTACTAAAGTGATAACTTCTGTTGAGCTTGGCTTTTTTAGCCAGAGCGAATATAGTCTCCCCCTTAATTCGGATCTGTGAGACCTATAAACTTTATCCTTACCAGCAAAACTGACTTATTCCCCAAAAACAAACTGAGAAATCAGTAGCAATGTGTACAGAAAAATAGGTCTTGCTTCAAGGAGCCAAAACCCGATCTTTCTCTAGAAGCATACGAACACCTTAAAATTCAGTAAGCGTATCTAAATACACGAGTTTCACATGATCTGCTTTAATATATTCTATTTTCCTTGTCGTATAGGGCACCATGAAGTATATAATCTGCTCAATATGACTGTGATTTTCGAGTCCATTCTCACCGATACCGTGATACGATTTTATATTAACGATTGCACAAACGATGCAATGAATCGCCTTGAAAACATATTACGGCATATGGGTCTATATCGCTGGGTCAAGTGACTATGGAGTTTCGCGTGAGGACTGAGGATGTAAATCCATGCATATGTAGAATTGAACATGAATCCTTTGGGCAACATCGTTTATCACGCTGTGAAGTCTACAGCATCCTCAATGAAGTTATTGAAGGCTATTACCCTAGTGTACACACCGGGGTAATCTTTACGAGCGCATGAGTTGCCAAACGATACTAAACCAACGACGGTCCACTGGCCTGCCGAGTCCTGCATCATTAGGGGGCCTCCACTACCACCCTAAAGCGAAAAAATTATTATTTATGTTAGTAGGCCACAGTACAAAACACAGTGATCTTCTAGCCTATATTAAAGGATAATGGTTGTCAGCGTAAGTGCATTTGCTCGATAATTTGACTATTGTTAATGAAGGCAGTGGAATAAAATTGTTTAAATGTCAAAAAATGTAATACAAGGGGCAAATATTGTTGTCCCCGCATCAGGTCCAGGTAATAAGAATAATTAAATAATAATAAATTATTAATTAAGAACAATTAAATAAAACAAGAGAAATTCGGCGAAGCAAGTGCATGCGTTTCAGTATTCACCTGGCAGGAATCGATACCGCCTTGCGGGTTCCCAGCACAAAGCTGGGTCTTGTCAATTCCATGACTGAGGTGTTGCCTGTCTGTGTCGTTGTACATGCGAGAGCATGTGCTTGACGGTATTACAGTCATAGAGGCTTCCCGTAGAAATAAACTCGGTGGACCACCTAGAAAGTAATTAGATGTAACTAGCGACAACACATATAGGTTTAGCAGCGCATAAGTCACATAATATGACCATCACTTAATAAGTATGGCATTCGTATGTACTCATTTACGGACAACAAACAATATCACAGTTATGTAAATTGCTGGTGATCATTCAATTTGGACATTATACCGCGAGCTTGGGACGTCACTTGACTTCTGCCGTAATGACCCAGACAACGCTACTCTGAACGACTCACTAATGCATCGACTTGTCTAGCTACCTCGAAGCAGTCAGTGTTCTTCTATGATGAATTTCTCCAACTTTCACTTTCTACGCAGCGAAATTTGCTCTACCTAGGTGAAGTGTAGGTTGTACTCACCCCTGGACGGTTCGTCGGCGTAATTTACGCTGCGTGGGAACCTCTGTTGTAACTGGCGAACGCTGCCATATTCTGCGTTAACTCGACTCTCGAACCCGACATAATGTGGACCCCGAAGACCAGTTCCTTGCTGCTGGTTGTATGCACGCTGTACAGGAATCGCTATTTGAGGCTGTTGAAATTGTGGCAAGGGTTGCGTTACTGAAGTGGCGTACCGTCGCTCTGCTTGAGTGTATTTTGTCTGCATTAGAGCGGTGTTATATTGTAATGGTGTGAACATCGATTGTTGTTGAACGTCCAGCGAATCGATCGTAGACGTTGTATGGTAGTAGGGACGGGCCGTAGTTAATCTGGTCCTCGCTGTGGTCCTTTTGGTCCGAAACGTTGTAGGTTCCATGTTCACGGACTGTGGGCGTCTTGTCGTCGTAGAAATTGTTAACTGGCTATAGCGAGTTGTTGTTGGGGTCGTAATAGTTGACCCTCTCACATCTGCATACTGCGGAATATGTGTAACGATATTGGAAGCACTGTTGCAAATAGATTCCCGTTGACTGTAGGATGTCTGCCCTTGACGGTGGGATGTCTGCCCCTCACGGTGGAATGTCTGGCCCTGACCGTAAGAAGGTTCTTTTAGATCGTGCGACGCTTCACTTTGACCGTTAAATGGTTCTGTCTCCTTATAGGATGTTTCTTGGCTGTACACTGACTTTGGGCTATTGGAAACCTCCTTCAAGTAATACGATGACTCGTTGTTATCGTAAGAGGACTCCTGCTGGTCAGGATAGGGTTCTCGATGACCTTGTGGCATTTCGTACAGGGATCGAGTTGAAGTGTGGAATTTGACCCTTGACATAGGCCGTCGAGTAGTTGAGACGGAGCGTAATGTCGTTGTCCGCACCGGTGTTTCCAAGCTGGCAGAGGCTTCGGTGTTATCTATCCAAAGTATGCATATAGTATTTAGAGCTTATTTTATAAATGATGCGAATAATAACTTCGTTGAAAGGTTAGAGGAATGAGCTCTCGACAACAGCAAAAAAAACTATCACTAATAATGGAAGCACTAGAAGTGGATTAATTCTATACAGTTACATGTAGAGACCATTTCGTTCCTACATAGTAGAAACTGAGCCAACCGTAGAATTGAGTAAACTACAAATGAGATCGCAAGAAATTCACTAAAGGGGTCTATATGGACGTTGACGGGTGAGCTCGATACTAAGAAATATAGAGTCAGTTTCTGTTTGTATGTATATAAACACATGTTTCTTACTGGCAATAACTATATGAGAATAACAAAGATCAATCTATTTCGTTTATCCAAAACTATTTCCACTTTCCCTAAGATTTGCGAAAGTTATGTTTAGGTGTGAAGCTCAGGTTGCGTAATCTATTTCTCTTTGTTGAGCCAGGTTGAACCTATTCCATTTTAATGTGTCCAGGCAGAAGTTATAGGGGATAAAAAGGTTAAATGAATTAAGAAGTTAGCGAGATGGAGATGAAAAAGTTCTGATAAAATCGACATTAGCAGCGAAGCACAGGCTGGCTCATCGTGGTGGAGGAAAAGCGGGACGTTCTTTGAGAATCCTAGCCACTTGCACTCAATATGCCCGCGTAATCCTCCTTAAACTCGGTTGTGTATGCTCGTACACAAGTAAAACAGCGTGACAACGGTGCATAATGTTGATCATCATGATGTTCTACTTTCAATTGTGACTTTGTTTGTGTTGTTATCGTTAAAAGTCACTGCTGCATAAAAGTGGACTATAATGTATTTTTCCTTTTGGACCCATGAGAAACTAGTTCGTGTTTATCGTTTGATCTCCGCGGTATTCCACAAGGTTCGTCCACACTTTGTTCCATTTGGAAAATAAAAATAATTGGGAATATTCCGTAATAATATCCTCCCGGATCGAAGAGTGTCTTTGTGTTTAAATTCTCACAATCCAAGGTGAATGAAGCTCCTCTTTAGTCGAAATTTAATTTGGCTAGAACACAGCAAAGAAGTAACGCGTTCAATGAAGAAATTCCACAAAAATAGTACAATATGGTTGGTGCAAGGTATCATGCAACTTTTTCCACTAGGGGTGCGCGACCCCTTGTCGGAAAGTAATGGCTGCTGCTTATCTACTTCTAAACACCGCTTGAAATTTATTCCGCCCAATAAACAGAATTTCGCTTCAATTTCGGATTCCTAATAAAAGAGTTGTTTCCACATTATTGTCATCATTTTAGCCATGACTACATTTCGCCGACCACAGCTTAAAGTTTAATAATAATATTTTATTTCGGGAGGGTGCACTTGACCCCGATCTGCCATCGGAGGTCGATGGGGACCTTCTAGAGGCACCGTCAAAGAAAGACAGCAAGCAAACCGTCCGTGAATCAGCCGAGAAGATAAACTGCAGAGGACTTCTTGATATCTAACTTGGCACGGGTACAATGGGAGGTTTCTACGCAGAATTGTTACGGGCGATAAATAGCGGTATTCCTACGTTGATAGAAGGCAGAGAAAAAAAAGAGGAGGTTTGAGGGATAAGACTAAGCCCAAAATCAAGCCAGATCTTGACTTTAAAAAGAGCAAAGATACCCATACGCCTTACTTACATATCGGCTGCCCAACCCCTGTGATAGCTTAGTGAATAGTGTATTTGCCTGCCTATATTATGGACACGTTGTGATTTGGGTCGAAACTCGTACACAGACTGGCAGTCAGCCGTCTGTGTGATGGAATGCCTAACGGCGATACCGGACGTAAACTCGAAGCATAGAGGCTGTATAACAAAAGAGACCTGTCGTCATTCAGTTCAAGGCCACTTAAGGGAAACGTCACGTAAGCCGTTTTTGTGTGAAGCCTTCCCAAGTTCTTGCACCGATAAATTTCGATCCTTTCCGCTTACTGGCTCACTAATTGGCAATGAAGAGGATCCTGAGAAATGACTGCCCAAGTCCTTTAACACAGGGCCTAAGAATTAGTCGAGAAGCGGAAGATGGTCCTTCCGTTTGACGGTGCATACGTAATCGACGAATCGTTAGATAAAAACATTATTGACCAACCGCATGCCATGCCGCCGCCAAACCCGTCTTGTTAATAGTAGTTGTCAGGTGGTGCCCATACTCATACCAAGTGGTTAATGTCCAAATACTGATACTGGCTTCGGCGTGCTAATAATCCTTTCAGGACTAAGAGAGACCGGTCACTGCTATGAGGTCAAAAACGATTGACGCCGCTTTAGAAAGATGATCTCATAGTTCAACTTGGAACAGATACACACATCAGTAATTGAGCTAAAGCCCCTAAGACAGGTTTGCTGAAAAGATGTCGATACATGCTTCTAATGCGTAGCCTATTTGTGCAGCAACATCCTTAGTTGTCCTTAACATAGCAGGAATCGATTACATCTTGCCGGAGTATTGTATCAACGCTGTTTCTCCTACTGCGTATGTATTTTTCGCTGTCACCGCTAAGTAAGACAAAGTGAAGAAAAAAAATTAGGGTTACGTACCGTCATACGTGGATCCATAACCGATTACAACGACAATTCTATCGACTAGATCATCATTGATCGACCTCGGCTTTGGCAAGCATATCGGCATAAATGGAGGTTTAAGGCCCACTTGCAGCCTGAAAGGTCCGCAACACGGAAGAGGTATACCCTTAAATGTTCAATTATCGGATTAATCGGAGACTGCACTAATGCATTTATTGGCCGATATTTGCGTCAGAGAAAAAACAGATCTGAACATTCGACTAGCTATCAGTATTACTAGATAGGACGCGTAATATGTCTACGAACCTTACAACGGCGATGTCGTTATAGAGAAGGTATGGATTATAATCTGGGTGTAATGATACGCCGTCGATTCGCTTTATTTCCGAATCTTTGTTTGAGTTAATCTTTGCTTCGTAGGAAAACACCTGAACAGCGTAATCATCGACAGCCCTGTAATTAAATAATTGTCAAGGTGAAAATATCGTGTATATAGTTGTGGGGAAAAACCAATGATACAAGTCTTACCTACCTAATGAATGGTACATTAGTATATTGTGATGAAACCTATTCGATGTTGCAGATCCGCTCTTGTCTCACCTTGGTACAGGGCTGAAGCAATAGGCAGCGGTCAGAATAAATTTTCGTGTAATAATGACGCCCCCACAGAGAAGCTCCCAGTCTCCCGTTTCTTCATTTTGTTGGAGAATTTTGACCTACGAGCAAAATCAGCTCTATAAAATATTATGCTTGTTAAGCGCGTATCTAACAGTCGCACAGCCACAAGTCTGGCTGTACCAAACAAATATTGCAGAATATCTGAGAGAAATATATATATATATATATATATATATGATACATAAAAGAAGGGTCATTTACATTTGCCTAATCTTCTCTGTAGGGGCACCCGTTCTTTGCGCATATTCACACAGGATGTTCGGGAAGTTATGTAGTTCTATTGAAACAACTGTTTACCGAATTCGAGGGCCACATTCCCAGTAAATTGTTTTGTGTCTTTTGAACACGCTGAAATACTACAGCTTTCTAAATTGTTCTTTCTTCCATACTAAAACAAGCCATAACATCTGAATATGTATTGAAAAAGACAACGATTTAAAACGATTCGTATAGACGGTTACCTTAGAAACGTTCAGATTTTGGCTCATTTCCGATAGGTTGCATAATCTTCTGAGTGCCCTGCACATTCTGTGTGGCTTCCTCAATGCCATACATATGTAATTTGCGAATCAGGTCTCAAGTCGTCATCGAGAGCCAAAAATATTACAAGAAAAAATTCATAAATCTGAATCAATACGTTATATTTCTCCTATTTTTCAACTTTTATGTCCGGCATCGCCGTTCCATCAGATAGACGGCTAGCTGGCTCCCAGCACGAAACGTGCCGTGTGTCTATGCCCCATAAATTCAAACTTAGACCATAATGTATCCCTATAAGCAGTAGGCAAGTACGTTACCCAATGAACGATCACGAAGACTGTCATGTTTCCTATGACTATGGAATAGTCCTTCGACATAGGCATCTTCTTCGTTCACTTACCATCCATGGCCAGTTTTCCAGCAGAGTGTCTTTCGTTGAGTATTTTTGAGGAAGGACAGCCGTTCTGCGTCTTGCAAGATTCGTTATGGCTAACTCTCTAATGCCACACACTTACGTATGAAGACGATACGTAGTCAATTGACATTTAAAGGTGACACAATCATCCAAAAACCAAAAGGTTGTCGAGCACGTACCGATAAACAAAGGTAACAAACAAGAAAGAAGCAAGCGTTCTGTCTTTATTTCCATACGACAAAGCCGTCTATTTAATGCACATCAATTTGTTGGATTGTTTTGCTGTGTTTACAGTCTTCAACGGGAACAGCTAATTTGTCCGCTTAAGGATAAACAAGCGATTTCTGTTGGCTTGTAGAATTACATATGACTGAATTAGTAGCGCGTAGATTTACATTTTTTCAGTATACAAGCAAACGTTTTGTTGGCTGTATCGATCCCGATCGACGCTGATGCTATATAATTACGTTGCTCAAAGCTATATATCGATATAGATTAGTAGAAAGTTTCACATAGATGATCACCATCCTTTACGAGTCCGCCAATATCCTTTAGACGTTTACCTGTTTGGCAGAAAGAGGTCGTAGTTTTAAAAATATGTAATACCTTTTTGGAATGCAGTTAAATCAATCGGCTCCCGATATTTATCCGGCACTAAAAACAGATAAAAAGCAAATCATATTTATAGGGTGGCGCATCCATGTACACAGGTGTCTCGTTTATAGAGACCCCTTGACCTAGGTTCCATTCTCCATTTGAAGGCATGCATATAAAGGATATAGTCTACATCGTATTCTTACACAATAATTATATTACGATTGAATGTTAATTAATTGAACAATTAAAAAAAAAAAGTTACTCAAAAGTTAACTGAAAATGTTACTAAGAGTTTTCTACAGGTCAGAAAAGTATTTCGCTACTATCCGATAGTAAACATAATTCCTTTACTAACAATATGGTGCGGAATGATTAGAAACGGTAAAAACGGAAATTGAATGTAATGTCTAATTACATCTTCGATTTTTCTCCCAGCCTGTCGATGGCTGACCCGTATCCTCCGACGCATACTGATAGGTTATTGCCGCGCCCGGATAGACTGAGAGGGTAGAAAACACAAACCTGTCAAACCAGGAGAATACATATACCATGCTTTGCTTTAGTGAAAGTAGAAGATTCTAGATTAAATTCATTCCACGATGAGTCATATTTCATCTTTACGGTATTCAATATTGAGGTATCAATGATGAGCATCACTGCATTACCCTTTGCATGGATGATCTTACTTATGCTGAACGCTTATCCATGGCTGCGACTAGTTTGTATAACCAAAAAACAGGTCGTATGAGATCCGTAAAGTTTCACTTCTCTACTTATAGTTCAGTGCGCAGGCAGTAGAGACGTCAGAGTGTGAACCTCTGCTGAGCTGTTGCAACTGATGGGTTTATATAGTGACGTCAAATGATTGACGTGTCCAGAAGACTGAACCAAGAAGCGCAATGACGTGAAGTTAGTTAATTGTTAAGATTCCAAGAGATAATAAATTATAAATAACAATGTACAACTGTTATACATTGAAGCCTAAATCTAGATATCGTCACTTAGGCATCACCCCTTGTATTTTTCGTATAACATTTTGTTCCAGTACAACTTAATCTCGTATCATCTCTATGTCAATGGAAAAACCCAAAAACCATAGAATGGCTCTATGAAACCTTAGAATACCGGTGATACTTCTTTAAACGAAAAGACTCGTGACTCATGCTGTCGTTAGCAATTAAATACTTTTCATACTGCTCATCATTTCCAACGTACTTTACGTCTGTATGCGATCTAATACGTCTTTGGAATGGAGAATAGTTTTTTTCATTTTATCGTACTCTAAACGCCTGAACGTGTCAGCTGCACCCTGAAAAACTACCTTAAGCCTATCGAAAAACAAAATGTTACCTAAATGCGAATTTTCGTTATCTTATCGAGCAAAACATCGACATTTCCTAAAAGTAAATCTTATTACTGAGCTTCAAGATATATCGAAGCTGTTTGCATGTTTATTGGCTTTACGTCGTCGTTTGTGATTAAATCGCGTACATGTCCGGAAATGGGTTAAGGTGTACGGCAGACTCGTCATTTTCGTTTCCGCACGACTATCCATACAAATTCTTGTTCACAGACTGCTAACTGTGCTCGAAAGCTTGGAAGACTCGCGACCTATATAGCCGACAGGATAAGAGCATAATGCGTGTAATCGTGCAGATGACCCAGGTATTTTTGGATAATATAGCCGTATATTATATAGGTACAGCTGGTTTTGCACGATTCTTGTGTGATACGCGCCTTGGGCACGAATCCCAAGGGGCACAAACGTTCCTTAACGAGTACGATTGAGGCTTACCTGAACTAACAAATGTTAAAATAGTTGATACAAACTTTTGATAAAATATAGATTTTCTTTATCAACTTACAAGGCTGCTGCCCAGTATCGCATCCTTAATACTTTCGTTTATCGTCGCCGCCGCCGTTTTTTTCAGTTCCGTCGACCAGCTATGTTTTAGGGTTCTGTCTTTAATTACGAACTTTACGCACTCGGTCACGAGTTTCACTGTTACGGGCTGTGTCTTCTTCTACTGCAAATAGTAAATTATCGATAATTGTACTTCGGCAGCACTTTTTCTTGACGAGTTACTCTGGAACTTCAGTGTTTTGGCACACTGTCTTGAACCGATTGAATTAACGTGTATGACGTGGGACGTACTGCTCAATAGTCAGGCTAAACTGATGTAGTTGTGAAGAAGTAGTCAACAGTTTTGTAAACCGGAAACGCGTGAAAAAAACAGAAGATTATGATAATTAGTATTATGGTCACTAGACTCTTAACTGTCACGGCCTGTGGCCTGTCTACCGTCAGAGTAGGACACTAAAAGAAGAGAGACTGACGACGAAATGAGATGAAAAACGAGACGCATATCGGAAAAAAAACACGACTTCGTTCCAGACGAGCGGCCAATGCTTGGTGACGTTGTTCCACGACGCCTGCCTATGTTGGCCAATCGACGCCGTGTTGCCGTGCAAGTTGACGAAGGTTCTGTAATTGTGTTGACTCCGTCCAGTTTTTTCCTTCTTGTCCTTCTCCTCGCCACGTTTTATGGCAGCAGCAGCGGCGGCGGCGGCCACGGCCACGGTGAGATGGTGAATTGTGGCCTTATGCAAAACTTAAGCGCAATCGCTAGTTTTTTTTTTTTGTAAAAAAACAAATCACACTTTCGTGGCGTGTATATATAAATTCATTTTTATTTTATTTTGTTTTTATTTACGAAAACTACATTATTCGTAATATTGGCTCGCTCGAGCAGGCGTGTATTGCAAAATCGGTTTTCATTTGAAGGTTTAACGCAACGATCGTTTGCTGTGCGTTCCTCATCAGAGACTGCGACAGGTCACAAAAATATTTCCAATAAAATCTATTTATGAAACACATGAAAGCATAAATAAATTAAAAATCTTTCTTTTTTCTTTATCGTGGTATGGCTATGATTGTCAACTGAGAAGCATTTCCGCAAAGCATTTTATGGAAAAAAATATGTATACAAGTTTTGTTAGACTTTTTTTTTCTTGCGACCTTTTATCCGATGTGTTGAATAGATTTCGATGTACAATTGATTATCCGAAAAGTGGCCAGTTTTTCCTAAGCCTTTTTCTTAAACCGTTTGATACATCAGCCTGGACGTCTGCATACCCTTATTCAACCCAAATGCAATCAAATAGCGCAATAAGCTTGTTCTTCCTTTCTAATACAAATAAAGCACACACACATAAGAAAGCTACTGTTATTTCTATTTTCTTATAATACAAGCAACAAGCAAGTTACTGATATTGGCTCTATGCCGGGCTGCCCCTGATACAAGGTAGCCACAATAAACACTTGTCGGTTTAAGGCAAATGCTTGACTGAGACATGCGATTCACATATGCACCTTTGCTGCTATTGTATCGTTGAACTCGGGAGTACCCCTTCAGAAAGAGAATCGAAGAATGACTGAAAACCGATGGAGGTAGCGAATAGTAAAATATTAATGAATCGAGCTGCGTCTTGTTTCTCATGGAACTTATACCTTTTCGCGTAAACGTGGCGGTTCACGTAAGAATGCACGATTCAACCGAGACTATCGGCCTTGTGTAATCTTGACTTTTCTTCTCAGAATCATAACGGCATCGGCGTTACTGTTCCGGGTAGCCATGACTCACTGACGACTATACAACTGAGACAAAGTAATCAATATTTTTAGAAATCGCACTTTGCTTTAGCGGACTGAAAATTTTATTTTGAAGCTTACGTGGAATATTATCACGAACGGCGACAACCCAGCTGAACATCACGGATCTATATGAGGCTCTGTGCCAAAATTCTTCACATCAATATCGCACCTGAGAGATCAGCCATGTTCTACCTTAACACAGTCTCCTAATAAAGCCAAATCAATATACTGATTCATTAGAGCATATGCGGTCCCTAATATGTACCTCAAGAATTTCCCGAAAACCTCAAGGAGAAGGAATTCATATCAATATCTAATAATGTTAGATAAAGTAAACGTCGATATATAACCTTAAGCACAGTCTGTGTCCAGTATAAAATAAATCTCGACGATTCACCGCTATAAAATGGTCTTATTAACACTAATGTAAAATATGCTAAACGAAGCCTGCGAAAAACGATAAGGTACACGCGAATGGATGCATAAATGGATTGAAATTCTTCAGCTCTTCGAGTCAGTATAATGGCCAATGTTTACTGTATCTTCACTGAACGTCCTGACATCTGGATTGGTGAAAGGCCAAACCACCCTCGAAACACTCTTGCTCTTACGGCCTATCTCGATCACCGGGATGTACGCGTTATACTCGAGCTAGTAAACATTATTCGATGCCGGAAATTTGTTTACTTCCAATATAATGGAGGCGGAAAGTCTGCCGAACTCGAACAGGATTCTGCATTACTTTATAGTCTGCATTGACACAAGAATGACCCACTTAGCGACATATTCCTCACGAACAACATATTGGGTTGTCTTGCTTGGAACATGAATTTATTTGCGAAATAAAGGCACCGTTTCGATACTACTAAAAACATAATACCTTTCGGTATAGCGGATGTTAGTTCGCGAAGAAAAAAAAAACAAAGACAAAGCGCAATAATTAGTGGGTGTGTAATAATCGAGATAGTGGATCAAATAAGTGACGTAAACTTTGAGGGTCACGTATTATTCATTCTCTTTCTAAACGTCGCAGTACTTAAAACCGGGTAATTTGTCGTTGCAGCTTATATCTATAACAGTGGGGTCCAATAGCAGCAGTGGACCAATTTATTTAACACTTACTGTGGTACGCATATCTTATATTATAAACGCCACAAATTACGTCATTTGTTCTTTAAGCAATATCATGATCTTTCAACAAATCCAAGTTGCTATGTTACGCCGGTCGATAGTCGTTCAACAAAAGATTAGCGGAGTACTTTCTCAGGGCATCGGTCACTTCTTTTTCATAAGAGAATTTCATAACAGTTGAAGTTCTTCTAACGGAAAAGTTTCGTTTTTGAATGACTCATTATGGCATGTTTGTTTTTTTTTTTTTTTTTTTTTTTTTTTTTTACTATACTCACTACAGTAATTGAACCCACAGATGATTGTTAATGATATGTTCTTGGTAACGATTTTTTCCAGAGCTCTGATTTTGATGTTTTTTTTATCACTACCTCCTAATATAAATAATAACAATTGTTCTACCAGCAAAATAGGAACATAGCGCTGTCTCATTCGTAGCGGTCGTACCCGTAAATAATACAGTAACCAACCACCGCAGCCGTAGCGACAAACATTCGTTGTGGTTCTTCCTATTTGCTTCTACAAATGGAAACCAAACACGACTGGCCCCGTTGAGTTGAGTTGCTGATTAAAGAACGACGACGTATGCTTATACGCTGGAAGGTATGAAGGCACCAAAATATATAGAACGATCATTAGAAAGCTGTACGTTATTGATTACTAGCATTCAAAAGTCGTGTGCCTCGGCATCATTCCAGTATCTACAAAATCGGTTTGTTTTTAATTGAACCAATATACATAGAAAATTCGCGACAAACAACAACTATGGAAAAAAATATGTGGTAAAAAGGTTCACAGTGCTTAATTTTTGCTCGCACGACTTTGTAAATAAAAATATCAGTTATATTTCTTTTTTTTGCTGTTACGCCTTGACTTAGGGTAAGCCTAACAAACATACCATGTTTTTAGCAAATTTAATGTGACGGACAGCGTTGCATTGCCTGCTTCAGTAGGTGCTAAAGAAGCCTATTCATACGAAATCCAAAAAATTCGCATCTTAATTATGTATCTGAAATGAAATGCTCATCGAAAGTGACCGAACGAAGATCTGTTCTTCTTACGGTGCATCTTCTGGCTGCAGTGTCATCATCATCATCGTCACGCATGCATTAACTGGTTACTAGATGAATTGCGTTCCGGGGTTGTTTTTTTTTTTGTTATGTATAAATATGTAGACAAGCTATGAAATCGTCTCCTGTCGCTTCGTATTCTGAGCTTTAGAGAAACACTACTACTTATACGATCTCATCTTTAAGGAACAAAGCAACTGCTTGGGTCTAGGTTGAGACTACATCTGTTTCGAGTTTGAATCCTTAATCGGATTGGAATTAGATTGATTTCAAGATAATTTTCCTTGCTTTTCATTAACCTAGATCTTTTCTAGATCCAGTAGTCGCTAACTTACGTAATGCTGGAGACGGCACTGGAAAATTTTGTCCTAAATTACAATTCATCTATTTTTACATCAACGGAACATAAGAGAAAAAGTGTTTTTCGTTCAGTCGCTAACCGACAACTGTTGAAATGAAGGAGGGCTAGAACGGCTACTATTTACGCCCATTAAACATAAATCAACAATTCACAAATATTACGTCGAAATCCTGGCCTAACCAAAAAGACACCAATACCAATTTTCCTGCCGCTTTTACAATGGAATCGCAGTATTTCCAGGGACACGTGTATTAAACCTAATGTCACTAATGTTTCCGTAGGTTTATTTCTTACCCTCGAATCTTCCGTGTCTCTTGTTGATATTTGTCCCTGGGTTTTTTCAATTATTGCAAAGATTTCTTTTCCAAATAACATAATAATACTTCCGAATAGAAAGAGACTGATTGCGTAATCATTTATTATTAACAGGGTCACGATGGTTGATAACACTTTGCCACATCTGCTGAAAGCACAGTAGCGGAACGCGCGATACACAGTTGCAATCCAACCATGAAATGGAATCAAGTTTAGGTGTTCAAAGTAAAGAAAATTCATTAGGCCCTTCTATGTCTAAGTAGATAAAACGCAATTCCTTCTTCTAAGCAATAAACGCTTTTCTGCTAGAGACACGTGAATTTTCGTCTAGCTTTAAGATAGCAGGATACGTCTCTATTTTTGCGGTCGGGGACTTCCCAGCAATTTCTTTAGAACTGTTTTATTACCCGAAGCAGATGATTGCTTCGGAAATTCGAATCAATGCTTCGGAGTCTCATGAGACATTAACAAAAAATGGCCAAGTCTAGTCAACGATTTGGCAATGCTCCAAGTTACGCCACGCACGACTGACGCTCTGTGGAAGATTCATTAGCTTAACGGTTCCTAAGAGCTATGCCGATGATAGGCCGGAATGAAGACGTGCCGAAAATTGCGGTGTAAATCGTTGCGTGCATTGGGTTTCATGCGCACTTCCTCTGTACGCCCAGCGTTTCACGTAGTTAAATCGGCGGAAGTTTGTAGGTAGAAGCCTAAGAGAGAAGGTGAGTTGTCATACCTTTATAAACTACGGTGTGAAGCCGGTGTTCGAAAAGTCACATACGTATGATAGTCATTCCATCACTCTATTGTTCACGCAGTGCTCCATAGAATAGCTTATTTTTTCGATATTCTGTAGCTGGGCATGGATACAAGCATGAACAATTAACGGAAAATTAGTGATCTTTTTTCAGTTAAGTTACC